TCAGCGGAACCTCGGTCCATCTCGCGGCTCTAAACTCGTAAGCTGTTTTCGGTCGTAGGCTCGGCTCTCTCTCTCTCTCCTTCTCTCTCTCTCTCTCTCTCTCTCTCTGTCTCTCTCTCTCTCTCTCCTTGTCTTGGGTATTTTACGATGTTCCGTCTCTTACGTGCGGTTTATTTGAGGTATATTTAGCCGGTCACGGAGGCTTCGTTTGCTTTCCTTCTTTTCCCCTCGTTTGGGTATGATGTGAAGGTCTGAAGGTCTTTTATTTATTTCCATGGAGGGTATGTTCCTTGTGAATATGTGATCGTCTTGGAAGATGAATGAGGGGTCGTTTTTCTTTCTATTGGATGCCATTTTACACGTCTCATTTTCTCTTTAAGAATCTAGTTTAGTGTGCCCTTAATCTATACCCAGACATATGATTAAGTGTTTATTTCGAACAGAGAACTCTAATACCTACATTAATGGCCCTGCATTCCTTTGGTTAATAAACACACCCTGACAACCTTGGACATTAGAGTTCTTCACCAGAGCAAGAAAAATGTCCGACAACCGCAAATTTATCCGTTCAGGGTCACTAAATCAAGAATAACAAGGCAGTTCATCCTCTTGACCCTTGGAAAGAGCAGATGAATAGCCTTTTCCCCCAAGAAATCATAAATTCCTTCACCTTTCCGATCATTTACCCGTCCCCATCTCGAAGAAAGAACAATGGTCAGGCTTAACGATAAGCGTGATAACAAACCATTGGGACGCGGGGCATGGACACAAAAACGCAGGCTGCTTATCACTTAATCATACCAGTAATTGTGGTGGTCGTTATGGCAGCACGAAGAAGACCCATCTGCGGGTAGCCGGGACACACGTGTCACCCAGACGTAAAAATGCATCGTTTATATCAGAGGAGGAAGCGCAGGAGGTGGAAAAATAACCTTTCCTCTCTGGTAGATTAAAGGGTGTTTTCGCTTGTTCTGAACACTGAATTCAATATGATGGGGATTATTCAGTTATTTTTTTTCTCTCTTTCTTTTTTTTTTTTACTCTCCGCCTTTCCTTCGTCTCCTTTCTTCTTCTTCTTCTTCTTCTTCTTCTATTCTTCCTGATCCTCTCTCTCTCCCTCTCTCTCTTTCTCTCTGTCTCTCTGTCTCTCTGTCTCTCTCTCTCTCTCTCTCTCTCTCTCTCTCTCTCTCTCTCTCTCTCTCTTCTCTCTCTCTCTCTCTCTCTCTCTCTCTCTCTCTCTCTCTTCCCTCTCCCTCCCTCTCTCCTCTCTCTCATTATCTTCATTTATTTTCTGTACATTTTCAGCCTAAATATGTTGTTCAAATAACAAAAGAAAATGTCATTAGTGGACGATATTAAAAGTTCAATAAACGAGAGGAGAGGAACCAACAGAAGAAAAAGATGATAATGATGTTAAAGATGATGCTACCCTTGACAATGACCGTATATAGGAACGTTAATCAGACGAAGGAATGTATAGTGATATTATGAGGAGGAATTATATAACGATGATTCTTGTCAATATTTTACATCATGTATTATGAATGACGTGAATGAATGACAAGAAGATGTATGAAAAGATACATATCGATGATAAAAGAGATAGCTAGCAATAATAAACCACATGAAAGGAGACACGGGATAAGACAGATAATTTGGAGAGATGGAGATGATGGATAGCTACGTGTACGGCGGTAATGATGGAGGATTGCGGTTGAAGAAAAGAAATGAGGAAGGAAAATTGACCCGGTGGCGTTATAGGCCTCATTACCGGACGCGGAGCCATCGTGTGTGTGTCTTTGTGTGTGTGTGTGTGTGTGTGTGTGTGTGTGTGTGTGTGTGGTGTGTGTGTGTGTGTGTGTGTGTGTGTGTGTGTGTGTGTGTGTGTGTGTGTGTGTGTGTGTGTGTGTGTGTGTGTGTGTGTGTGTGTGTGTATCTTTGTGTGTGTGTGTGCATGCAGGTGATAGTCATAAATAGACTGAGAGAGAATTTTATACACATACGCACACACACATGCGTATATATAGACGGTTATATAGACAGACCGATACAAGCATATATACACACAAGAATGTATCTATCTAGACCAGAGACACAGACAAAGATAAATAAATTGGGACAAAAGAGATGGAGAGAAAAAACAGAGGTGTTTGGTTTAGAGAATAAGAAACAAAAAGCCAGAGACAAAAATACAGACAGAAAAAAAAAATAGACGAGACAAAAGCCACGAGAGTCAACAAAGCCGAGAACAATACAACACCAAAAACAAACAAAAAACAACAACAAAAAAAGAAGAGTAAAAAAAATAAAGAAAGATGTGTGTGGAGTACATACCCCGTGTTGTTGCCAGAGGTCGCAATTGGCCCAGCTGTCAGTGACAAATGGCCAGGGAAGCGCTAATGTGTTGTCCCAGTAGCGTGGTTGACATGCTAGCTGACTACACAAACATACATGCACGCGACACACGCATTTTTATTAATCTATTCACCGCATATTTTTCCATGATAATTTTTCTTTAGTCCTTCTCTCGTGCTCTCTTTCGTCTGTATGCCACCCCTCTCTTTCTTCCTATATATATGTATATACATACATACATATATATATATATATATATATATATATATATATATATATATATATATATATATATATATATATATATATATATATATATATATACATATATATATATATATAATATATATTATATATTATATATATATATATATATATATAATATATATATATATATAGTATATTATATATATATTATATATATATATATATATATTATATTATATATATATGTGTGTATATGTATATGATATATTATATACATATATATATATATATATATATATATATATATATATATATATATATTAATATATATATATATATATTATATACACATATATATGTCTGTGTGTGTGTGCGCGTGTGTGTATGTGTGTCCATTTCTATCTAAATTAGTCCTAATTTAACGTGGTACTCAGCTGAGTTGCCTTATCTCTTTTTCCTTATACCTCATTCCTTACACCTTCTTTCCTCCCTCATACTTCCCTGATGCTGCTCTGCTCTGGTCTCTGCTCTGTAAGATTTTCTTCCAAGACTTCCTTCCAAGGCTAAAATAAGATGCTGATAAAATAGAGCGATAAGAAGGAGAAAGAGTAGGAGGACGAGAAGGAGGGGATGGGAAGAGGGAGAGAGGCAGGGAGAGAAAAAAGAGAGGGAGAGAGAGAGGGAGAATAAGGGAATAAAGAGAAAAAAGAAAATAGAAAAAGAAAAGGAAGTCACAAGAACGTTAACAAAAATGATGAGAAAGATCAAATGCAAAGAAATGAAAAAGAGAGTAAAGAAAAAAGAAAATGAAGAATGAGGAGGAATAAAGAAAGAGGAGGAAGCAGAAGAAAAGAAGAGAAGGCGCATGGCCATAAAATGCTTACCCGCTTCCGAGCCCCCCCCCCCCCTCTCATCCCCCTTCCCTCGTACCCTCACCTCTCACCCCCCCCCCAAAACACCCCCCAACCCCACCCCGATACTCCATTCACTCAAAATATCGACCTACAAGATTTTTTTTTTCTTTTTCTTTTTCGTTTTTTTTTCTTTTTTTCGTCCTCGTCTCACAGGCCTTTCACTCTGGCCGGACATAAATGACTCGGGCAAGAAAGAGAGAGAGCAAAAAAAAAAAAAAACTTCATTAAGCCAATTTTTTCGGCCATCTTTGCCTACGAGTTTCAGTAGTTAATAAATTTTGTACTATTTTTTCTTACCTCTTTAAAAAAAATCGGTTATTCGTTACTTTCTCTTCCCATTTTTTTGTTTTTTTTCGTCTCCATTGCTTCATTACGTTGGGATATAAAGGAGAATTTCCCCGTTGTAAGTACGTTAGTTGTGATTTTCAGTCAGTGTTTCAATATTAAATCACAAGAGACGGGTGGGGGTGGGTGGGGGTGGGGGTGTAAACAATAAGTTTAAGTTCAAGGGGAAATTTCGTTGCGTTGAACTAAAACTAAAGCGTTGAATTTCCACCTTTCGTTAGCGTGTTGTTGGAGGTCGTTTGTAATATTCGTCTTCTGTAATTTTTTGGTTGTAATTTTATCAGTATTAGTATTCTATCGTCACTGTACTTATAATTATTATCATTTTTTATTTGTTATTTTTATATTGATATTTTTCATTGTAGTAGTGACTATAACGACGACGACAACGATGCATGATTGATGATGAATGATGATGATAACGATAATGAGGATTAAATGAAAAATGATAATGATGATAATGATAAGGATGATAATGATAATGAAGATGGTAATGAGTACGGTAATGCTGATGACTGTTATGCATAGAAGTAGAAGAACAACAGTTTCGAATAACAATATCAACAATATCATACTTGTTGACATTATCATCTTTAATACCATCGCTAGCCTCATCCGCCCATTGTGCTCCTCCTAAGCTCCTTATTTCCCCAGATGCAGTTCGAGTCACATTGCAGTCGTTTCTGCAGCGCGCGCTCCATTCCCCGCCTATTCCCCGACGAACTCTACGGATCGCAACCCACGTTTCAAAACCTCCCTTTAACGCTCATTCATTTCGGACTTTCCTCCGCGTTACATTAATCGCATTTCAAAACCTTTTTTTCGACTGCTTGTATATTTGACCTTTGTTCGTACAAGGGCGACGTTTTTTTTTTTTTTTATCTTTTATTATTTGTTTCGTACAAGGGCGACGGATTTTTTTTGTTTCACACTCTACGGATCGCAACCCGCATTTCATAACCTTTTTTTCTGGTATTTTTTTTTAAATCAGCCTTTGCAATACACATTTCAAAGCGCGTTTCCAATCGCTCATTCCTTCTCATTCATCCTCCACGAACCATGACCCACATTTCAAGACCTTCCTTTAATACCTCTTCTGTATGACCTTCCTTTAATACCTCTTCTGTCCTTCCTCACCTTCCCCTCTTCTGTATGACCTTCCTCTAATGCCTCTTCTGT